AGCAAGCTGCCATCTAGATGCAACGATGGGTCTCTCCTCGTCCAGAGCAAATAAGAATGAAGAAAACCAAAATTCATGGAAACAATTAGTCCTAGTGACTGGTACACCATCCGATCTGCAGCCTGTACGACTATGAGACCAGAAGAACTAGACGGTGCCTGGCTAACCACTGTTATCCACTTGGAAGGGGATCTATGTAGGAGATTCTTGATAGAGAGGCAGAACAATGTGAAACAAAACTCAAAATCATTTGAAGGAAAAACAAAAGGGGGGTACCAGGTTTGCTGGTCTGATAGAGCCTGGTGGAACCACTGAGACTATGGCCCCTAACTGCCCTTCAGGTCTGGAATTGAACCCACCCCTGTGGTTTCCAGCCAAACGAAAGACAGGCGTATGAGTTGAGCATTTACCTCAAGGAAGGTTGGGCAATCCTACTTCCGTAGTGATACTGCCTCGGAAACCCAAGGAGGGGTCGCTATGAGTCGGGGCTGACTCGATGGCAAACAACAACAACAACAACAGATACTCTCCTTGGAGAGAACAATTATGGGAGAAAGAAGGGCTGCTTATGCACAGGGAGACAGCTCAGGGGGCAGGAGTGCATGGAGGGATGGACACAGGGAAGAGGTAACTATGGGGAGGAAGTGGGAGGGGAGCTGTTGCATTGTGGTAAACTATGGTCAATGTCATGAGACAAAGGATATGTAAACTGCTGTATGGAAAGTGAATTTGCTCTGTAAATCTTCACCCAAATCACAATTAAGAAAACAGAGAGCGAGAGCGAGAGCGAGAGAGAGCGAGCACAGGGAGAAAAGAAAAGGAATTAGGGAGAATGCTATAGAAAACATGATGAACTTAATTAATGTCACTGAATTGTACATGTGAAAAATGCTAAATAGAAAGGTTGTTTATACAGACACACACACACACACACACCCCAATTTTTAAAAAATAGTTTTTAACAGGCAAAAAGAATGAAATCTGGGGGAAACGGCAGAATCTTATTAACTTGAATCTGAACTAAGAATCTAGACAGTTACACTAGACAGGGCAACAAAGTAACTCTTGGCTTCAGGTGGTGGGCTTCTACATGCTTCCTATTGGTACACCTAATCTAGGGGCTGCAAAAGACCGTAAGTGGGAACACCTGGCTTAAGTGAAAAGAAAGAGGTAGAAAAACAATCTGCCTCTAACCAGATAGACAGTTCTGGTCACTGACAAATTCTAACACAGATATTCTGGCTCCAGACAAATTCTGACACAGATATTTGAATACAGAAAATGTTAACTAAAATTCAAAGACAATATAAAATGAATTGAATAATGTGATGGGTTTTGGTTGGAAGTAGGACTCCACCCAGCCTAAAAGATCTGATTAGATGGAAGAGAGTAAGGTGATCCAAAGCAGATGGAAAACATGAGCAAAGTAGAAAAATAAGCATATATAAGACAAAAGAACACAGAACTAATAAAATAAGCTGCCTAAAATAGGTTAATGTTGCACAGGAAATAAGGTTGAAAATGACTAAGTCACAGAGAGTCTTTAAATGCTGGGCTCATTGTTTTTACATCTTCAAATGCCAAGGAGATACGAGGTTTGAGGTGAGGGAAGGTTGAAAGACAAAGAAATAAGAGAATTTGTGAATTCTTTTCAGTAAAAGAATGATGAGAAGTTGTTTCAAGAACAATCTAAAAAGAAATGATAAAAAAAATCAGGAACTTATTTATTTAGGATTTTTATATAAAGCATACCAAAGAAATTCCATTTTTCTATAATGCAAACATCTGGTGAACTTAAGTTACAAAAATTACTCCTATAGTACACTACACTAGACACTGAGATTGATTTTGGTGATTCCTGTGTACTTTATAAGGTGACCCTAAAAAATCCAAACATGCCTTCAAAACCAAAGACTGACTGAATTTAGGAAAACTTTCAGCTTAGTGTTAAGCTGAATCATTCTGGTATTCTACACATATTTTATCCTAATTCTCTGATGGTGGGTTTAGCACACAATGCCTTCGTCTCAAGGCCACTGAGATGGAGAAAAGACACACACACAAACACACAGTTTATTTTTAAAAAATAAACTCATGACAATACTGGGAAATAAACAGTGCCATCAGCAAGCCAGGAATTTTGAGGAATTCAAGAAAATGCAAGTGGGGTCATAAGGAACTATTATTTCGTTTCTTAGTAATAAAGACATACCCCCATTACTTACTAGTTTTATGGTTTATAGTTGTAAAATGTAAAATAAAATAATGTAAAAGAAAAAAAATGAGTGAATTCTTACATGGCTTGAAGCATGCTATTGTGTAAGGATGCTTCCAAAGCATGACAAGGACATGTCAAAAGGAAACAGGAGCCAGCTTAAAGGGTTCCTACTAGAAAAATCTAGGACAATTTAAGCATCATAGTAGAGTACTAAATTGTTGTTATTTGCTGTCGAGTCAGACCCGACTCATAGTGACCCCTCCTGGGGTTTCTGAGGCAGATCACTATGGAAGTTACAACCCATTATGAAATAAGAAGTCATGAAACCACACAAATTTAAATAAATATTTACATAAATACACAGGGGAGAAAAGAAAGCTCTTCTTTACATTAAAATACCAACTAATAAATAGGTTACTCCTAAAACAACTTCTCATCATGCTTTTACTTAAAAGAATTCACAAATGCTCTTATTTCTTTGTCTTTCAACCTTCCCTTACCTCAAACCCTCTACCTCCAAGGCATCTGAAGATGTAAAAACAATGAGCCCAGCATTTAAAGACTCCCTGTGACTTAGTCTTTTTCAACCTTATTTCCTGAGCAACACTAACCTAGGATTGACAGAGTTAGCAAATCACTATTTTGAAACCATCAGAGTAATAATTTCTCAGCTAAGAATTATCAGAGGAAGCTAAAAATAGTGGGTGGACCATTTAAAGAGAAACAGGATATTTATATAGTCTCAAACTAAAACCCACAAATTACTCATTAATTACAAAAAATATATGTATTTATTTATTTACATCACAGTGGAGAAACCTGGCAGACACCTTAACCAAATGATTAAAGTTGCTATCACTATTAACAAGATAAACTGACATGCATCCCATGATGCAATGAAAATATCAAACCCAAAAAAACCAAACTCATTGCCATCGAGTCAAATCGGACTCAGAGTGACCCCACTAGGTTTCTGAGGCTATATATCTTTACAAAAAGTATACTACCCTTCCACAAAGAAGCTGGTGGGTTTGAACTGCTGACTTTCCAGGTAGCAGCCAAATGCCTTACTCACTACGCCACCAGAGGTCCTTAATGAAAATTCCACCGCTATATGATTAGTGCTAAAAATGCATTCCTGAATCTAATTAGGAAAAAACATCAAATTCAAGGTGAGGAGTATTTTATAAGCCTTTGGAAAATTTCAAAGTGAGGTCTTGACCTCTCTATTAAATCTTCTAGATCCTAAGAACAATGGACTTACACTGCCCCCAGCCGTGTAAAAGGAGGAGACTTAAGAGAGATTTTTTTTTTTTTTTCTGGTCCAAATATAAATAATGAAAACTAAAGAAATAGGAGCTCTGGTAACACAGTGCCTAAGGCACTTACTTCACTGCTAACTAGAAGGCTGGCGGTTCAAACGCACAAGCCACTCCTAGGAAAGAAGGTTGGGCAATCCTACTTCCATAGTGTTACTGTCTCAGGAACCCAAGGAGGGGTCACTAAGAATCAGGGCTGAATTGACGGCAAATAACAACAACAAAGATACATAAACATTTTTTTATTGTATAAGTCATTACAATAAATTATACCTAACCATGGTAAGTGGAGTGAATTTTTGAAACCTTATTTTTTCATTTTTGTAGTAAGAATTTAATAAAAGAAAAACTACAAATCTTCTATATGTTAAAAAAGAATGAACTTATCTGCCAGTCATAGTAACATAACAAATCCAACTTCATTCCTACCAGAAACAGCTAACTAATATTAACACTTTTTTTAACCATTTGTGTACTAGGTAAAATAAGAAAGCAATAAAAAATTTATTTATCTTATATAACATATACTAATTTTCTCAAGAGACCTAACTGTAAATATTTTTTACAATATATCTACTGTTTAGGACTAAATATATCCTTCTAATTTTAATTAAAAATGAAACTAATTTTTTTAATACATACCATCATCATCTTTGCTTTCTAGCGGAACACTCCAAGCTATCAGATTTCTTGCTGTACGACCCTCCTCTGCAACTATTCTCCTTACTTTGTCATGACTATTGGAGCGCTGGAATGAAGCCTATGTACAGAAAAGAGAATATTTATTAGATTATCTGAAGTCAACATATATATTTGATGGGCAAATTAATTATTTCTCACATTTTCTCAGGAAGAAAATACTTAAAACTAATTTGACACTGGAAAGAAGGTTAAACAAAGAAAGTAAGTCACAGATCTTTTTTAATTCTAAAAAGACTGAATTTTGCAATTTTAAATTATTTCAAGAATAAATACAAACTGGATCCGGCAAGATGGCGGACTAAGCAGAAAGACTGCACAGACCCTCTTCAACAAAGAAAAGGGAAACCAGTTAACACAGACACAGAAGATAATCCTGGAGCCACAAGCCTTCAAGGGAAGGATATAGAAGTGGACTAAACCCCAACTAGCAGAAGAATTTGCATCAAAATACCAAAAAAGGAAACAGATGGAGCTGCTGTCTGGCAGCGATCCAGAACAATCCTGACGGCACAGACAGCTTGGAGATTCCCAAGTG